GTTCTTTCGTTGCCACGTTTGCTGTCCGAGAGCTGCTGGTGGAGACGCCCAGATCGGAGGAGTGGAGCATATTGGCTGAGCTATGCTAGAGACCGAGTATGGGTCCACCTGGTCGCATAACTTGTCAAAGCAAGGCGTCCATTCCGTGTCTGACAGTCTGCACGGAATATGGAAGGATCAAGGTCTTGTACGGAGTACGGACTACGGAGTGTTAAACCACCTGGTGCACAATATTCCCCCTCATTGGGACCAGGGGACATACAGCGCCACAAGACGGGAAGTCATAGGAGCACCGTCCATTGTGGGCGGCGTAGGCGTGTTGGCTGCCAGGAGCTTACCTGACGGCTTGGGGCCGATACTAATGCACTGGGTTTTGCCCTGGGCTGGTTGATGTAGGCTCGTGTGACAGGGCTTGAAGCATCTGGAGCAACGGCTTACTACCTTTCGACTCTCACGTACGAACTGGTTTCCCTGGTTTCCACTGGCTATCAGAGTATCCAGGATATCAGTTACATCTGTCGCAGTCTTCTCATCAATGAGAAGGTCCAACTACAATCCGGGACGCACGCTGCCAATGTTAGAGAAGGGATGTTAAGAAAAAGGATGCAAGGCTCTCAATAAGTGAAAGAAGTAGAAGGAAACTAGAGAAGAGATGAGGAGTGGGGTGAAATGAAGCAACACTGTCTGATAGGAAGAAGGGGAAAAGATCTCTACCGTTATTGTCATTAATAGATGGGGTGCTCTATACAGCACAGACAATCTGATACATCATTAAATCAAGTATTCCCAGCCACTATCCTATCACTACAGAGCAATAATGTACCCCAGACGATCATGCATCCCACTCTACTCTATACATGCATACTTGTCTCATAGGTACCCCGTACAGTGTCTGGCCTGTCGACCTAGGAACAGGGCCTAAGTACATACCGAGTACTGCTTGGTCCATGCTCTCAGACAACACCACCAGCAAACCAGCAGCAAGGGCTAGATAGAATATCACCAGTCGTGATTCAACCCGCTATCTATTTGATCACCTTCATACTCTGCAATAATCATTGTGCATTGGAGATTACAGCGTCATCATCCCTGCAAACCCACCGCATCCATCTGCTAGTGTATGTACTCAGAGTATATTTATTCTCCGCAGTGTGTACTGTGTGGTTTGCTAAGTCTATATCTGCTTCGTCTCCACTGTAAACGGCCACCAGACGTCATTTGTCTGTCGCCCTTTTTGTAATATTGACCCCCTTTTCATCAACTACTGCCTAGACTAGATAATACAATAGGTATGGTGATAGACAATTGTGCCGCGTGATCGACCCTTCGATCGTCTTTTGGTGTCTGATGCTGCGATGCTCTACGCCCATGGTTTGCCACCGCCCCCCGATATCAATGTTCAGTGTCATCATCATTCCTCCGATGCCTCACCAAATCGGATGGAATTCAACTTGCCCTCGTCCGTCCCGGGCGGCGACAGGCAGGCATGCTCCGTGGTTTTGTCAGTCTATCCTATCCTCATGATCTACATATTTTTCTCTAGTTTTCTGGCCAAATGTATCGGCAATCAGTGGCAATGGCAAAAGACCATGGTGCTGCCTGATTGTCGTCTAGGGTTGAGCTCCCGGCCCTATTCCCGCCTCGTAGGCCGTAACGGCTATCGAACCTACTCTGTAGATTGATCGTTCGATCATACTACTCTCATTCGATGATCAGGATAATCGGGATACTCAATTCAACGCGCATGCCTGGAAAAAAGCCCACCGACGCCAAACTCATGCCAGAAAATACCAAGTAGTATATACAATCACGTAATAGTATGTCGCAGTTGTGACACCCACAAAGCCACTGCCTATGCCTTGGGCCGCGCAATGAACGGATGCTTCAACGCTTCAGCCGGCGTGCACCGCTTCTCCGGGTTGAGACTCAGGCAGCGGTCCAACAGATCCACAAACAGCGCCAGTTCTTTTGCCTCACCATCCGTCATTCCTTTGGCGTTTTTGCCCATCAGCCTGGTCCTGAGGTCACGCGTGGGTTTCTTGAAATCGAGGACTTTCGTAACTAGACGTCCTGTAATCTTATCTTCTTCCGTGCTGTGGAAATTGAGCATATCATCAAAGTGCTGGTGGGTCAGCGACCCTTTCCGGAGAAGTTTGGGAGGGTATTTCCCACGACATTCCATGATCGAGCGTAACATCTGGTTATTATTTCGGCCGGTGAACAAGATCTTGCCTGTGTACAGTTCAAAGAGCGTACAGCCTATCGACCAAACATCGATTGCATGGTCGTACGGAATCCCAAGGATGATTTCCGGGGCCCTGTAGAATCGACTGACTAGATACGGCGTGATTTCGTTCTCCGTCGCCGGTGACGCCGATCCCAGGTCACACATTTTGAGCACGTTACGCTGCTCATTCACGAGCAGGTTGTCGGGCTTCAAGTCGGCATGAAGGATATTGCACTTTCGAAGCAGACTGAGTCCAAGGAAGATCTGCTGTGCATACGCTCGGATGGCGCGTAGGTTCAAGCCCACGTCCCGTCCGAATTTCTTCAAGACCTCTCGTAGGTTCATGCTGAGATTCTCAAAGACCATGCACAGATGGCCCTTGTGGTCGAAATGTCGTTCAAAACGGATGACATGCTTCTTATCCTCCGGGTCGGCCTCGCGAAGCTGCTCCAAGATGCCAATTTCCTTCAATCCGGCTTTCCTCATGGTGTCGTTCTGGCGGATAATCTTGATCGCAACAAGGCCGCCGGTTTTGGCATCTGTTGCCCGAACGACGGATGAAAACATTCCCTTGCCCAAATTCTGCTGTACATGATATCGTCCGTTGATCAACTCACCCAGCCGGACATTATAGTACCCTTCTGGATCGTCCCAGTTATCCATCATGCTGATGTCGAGCTCTTGAGGCTGAGGCACCGGCACGGCCGAGGCATGTGTTGGTTGAGTAGTTTCCTGCTTATCTTCCGCGAACATGTCATCGTCGTCCTCCGCGAACATATCATAAGGATCTTTCGCTTTGGGTTCGGGTGGCTGGACTTGGGGGGCATCTGGCATCAGAACATCCTGCTTGGCGGTCTGCGTTTCGTCGTAGCGAGCCGACGAAACGTCTCCATTGGAGTCTCCTGCGTCATGCTTCTGTCTTTCTGCTTTCATGTCAATGGTCGGATCGTAATCCGCCGCAGATGGCTCATCTTTATCTGCACCGTCCGTAGGTGCATCGTGATTAGCTATATCAGCATCATTTCCAAACTCTGGGAAAGCATCACCAGCGCTATCGTTGGGTGGTTCGGAAGCCGACCGTTGTGGAGAGACTATTGATAAACCGGTATTAGTTCAACTATCTTCAAACTATTCCACGACTCCATCAGAGTAGGCGGAGGAAAAGCTCACCTGAAGCAGCATTACTAGATCGCATCGCATCCAAGCTCGGAGTCGGCGTAGATGATTCCGTATCAGCACCAATATGTGCTTGCAGACGCAGAGGCGTTGCTTGACCTCTATACTTTGCCTTGATAGCTTCGCGCCGTCTGCGGCGAGCTTCTAACCGAGCTGCCTCATCGAGCGTTTCAGCAGGTTCTTCTGCAGTGTCTTGACTTTCCTGAACTGCGGGCGTAGTTGCACTGGAGTCCGAGTCAGCCATGCATGGATCTCAAAAAGGAAAGGGAAACTATACCTGTCTCCAATGCGTGAGGAAGGAAGAGAAGGAACCTGCTGCACCTGATTCTTTCGAACTTCAGCATCTTGTCTAGAATCTTGAGCGACGACCGGAGGGTTCCCTCGTTCGCTCACTAACTGTTCAGTAGATGACCTTCGTCTTCCAGTACCCTGGGATGCCACACTGCCCTCTCTATGGGAATCCCATTCGTCACCCGAGTACTGTTTGGGTTTTCGTATTTCCCGGTACGGTGACCGGCTTCGAGTCCGGGGTCGCTTATCCCCACGTCGATCATAGTCGTCCGTGTACCGGAGACCACCACCGTAATAATCGTCTCGGTCATAATCGTGGTAAGGCCTAGAGCGTACGTGGGCAGCAGGGCCTCGATTATAATGTCTGTCATTGTTAGGCCTGGGACCTCCGCCTCGAGATGGTTCGTGTCGATAACGCCTCTCGTGATAGTCATCCTCGCGTCGACGTTTCTGCCCTCGGTAGTCTCGATAGGGCGAGCGAGAGCGGGATCGCGATCGCGAACGCGACCAAGTCCTCGTCCTGGACGTCCGTCGGCGCGGCGATCTGCTTACAGATGCTGGAGACCTGAGGGCGGACGATGTACTGACTCTGGTTTGACGGTCAACGCTGGTGCCATTAAGAGGAAGTTGCGACGTAGTTGCCTTCGTCTCTGAGCCTGATTCGATGATCTCACCCTCAGAAGGGGTCGATGGAGACCTCGACCTACGTGACGCCATTGCAAGGATGGAGCGCGCACGGGATTTTCAATATTTCAAAGGGTCTGAGAGTTTGATCGTGGCTATCACGCGCAGCTTCAAAGAGAAGAGGAACAGAACTCCGGTTAGCAAGGTTGCTCCAGACAATCAGTTAATGGAGAAAGTGTATTGAGAAAGTCCAACCGGCTAGTGATGCCACGGCCTTTGCCAACTTGACTACCGTTTCGCACGAAGCATGTGCCTTTTTAAAATCTCGCTTCAACAGCACTCGGAGTTCTAAGATTCAAGCTGAAGAGAAGGAGAAATTTGATAGCTCCTAAGGATGAGAAAAGAACTTTGAAGAGATGAACAAGAGAGGATGAGACAGGACATGACGGAGAAAGTCTCAGTTGTTCCCTGGCGGCAGGCGGTGACGGACTGACTCCAAGGTTTTCCCGTTGGCTTTCTTGCTCGGGCGCTAGTGCCACCCCGCCCGCTGATAAGCATCTTTTTTCCTCTTTTTCTTGATATTTTTTTATCCGCTCATTTCCCCACGTCGCAGCCATCTCCGTCGTTCATCTCGTTCTAGCGACTATTTTCATCTGTTTCTCATTCTAAGACATTCTACACAATGGGTGGTGCGAGCAGAGAAGGTATGTCGTGTCCCCGTGTGGATGATGCGATACAGTCAGCTAACTCATCTGCTTTCCAGGCGGCAAGGCCAAACCCTTGAAGGCAGCCAAGAAGGAGAAGAAGGACCTCGATGAGGACGATCTGGCCTTCAAGGAGAGACAGAGAGCCGGTATGTTGTCCCTTTGTGTACGCTGATGCAAACTGGCCCGGCGCATTTGCTAACTGTTGCGGATGATTAATAGAAGCCAAGGCGAAGAAGGAGTTGTTGGAAAAGGCGAAAGGCAAAGGCCCGCTGAACACTGGGCAGCAGGGTATCAAGAAATCGGGAAAGAAATAAATTGTTTCTCAAATGATCTGCGAATCATCGTTATGATATACAACGAGCCATGATGATCTACGACCGCACCAGTGGCGCGCATCCATGTTGGCATTGATTATGCAACTTTTATTACCCGAGCATATTCACTTCTTGAGAGATAATCATTTTCAAATCAATGCATGTCAATAATAGTGAGAGAAGCGCGCATAATTTACTTTAATCAGCAGAATGTATGCCGATCCATAGCGCGCAAGAAAAATACGACACCTGAACTTCGAGATCAGAAATTCTTATTAGTGCGGAATGGGTATCACTGGCGCCCCTTTGAATAATTGCAGGATAAATCTGAATGATCTGCCAGCAGTGTAACAGTAACGCGAAGAGCGAATCTCCCAACTGAGTCGCGCCAATAAAAAGGGTATTCAAAGAACGGAAAGGGGTATGGCTCAACCAACACACATTCAGAGGCGGTGTACTGGAAATCAAAGGAACATAAATCAGAGAAGGCGACACTTTACCAACGAAAGTCAAATCATAACACTCGAAAGCAGAAATTCGAACCCGAAATTGACTGAAAAAAAGGGCTTTCCTTCAGCTGGTCACCCGCTTTACCCATAAACCGCTGCCTCCACCATACAAGTCTTGCTCGTCGCGTTTCTTCCAAAGTCTGAATAGCTTCATGCCGATCTCATGCTCCTCTCTCTTGATATCGGCTAATTCGTTGTTGAGACTGGTGACAGTCTTCTTGACCTCATCCCGGGCAGCCATGTCGTAGGCAATGGAGCTGGGCTGGATGACCTGGGTCAGTTCGTGAATTATTGTGTTAATGTTTGCCCTACGCCGTGCGAGGTTGTCCCTCCTTGCTTCCAGCATCTCAATGCGGTTTTGAGCTTGTTGTTCTGGTGGACATGGGGGGAGGTCCTTGCCATTGTCAGCCTGGGAAGGGGTTGGCTTCCTGGTTGGCTTCTTCCCGGGAGCCGCGGCACTGGGGATGGGTCTTTTGCGGGACATAATTGAGGGTGCGTTTTCTGTAGACTGGGAAGCCGCATCGACGCTCTCACGACGGCTAGGTGTAGGGCTATCGCTCTCCGTTGTGGCGCAGGTGGTTGCACTGAACCGACTGACGGGTGCATGAGCCTGGTCTCCGGTGGACAGCTTCAACTCAGCTAGGGTGGCTTCCAGAGTGGCCCCTGGAATTTCGATACGGGGTGGAACATCGCTTGTCGCACTGATGGATGGTATCGGTTTCTTCGCAATTGATGGTTGCTGGCGACTTTTGCTAGGCTGGTGTTTGTCCGGTCCTAGGGTATTATCTGCGCCTCCGGTAATTGTTGTGACTACCGACGGGACGAAACCGAGGTATGAATAGTCTGGAGATGCACGGTCGTTTTCCTTTGATCGATCGTTGCGATCGTTATTCTTTGATTGTTGGACACGTGATGACGATCTCTCCCTTGGCTTCTCCTGGATCGGATTTATCATCGGAGATCGCCCACTTGGTCCCTTCCAAGGTTCACGCGCTGCTAGAGAAAAGGGATTATCAGTTTTTGACGATGACCGTTGCCGGCCCTCTGTGTCCTGTTCTTTTGAATGACCATGGCCCTTGATCCATCTGGATGCGTTGCTTGATCCTGTGTGTTGTGATCCGAAGGAGATATCTGTGGAAAGGTTGGGTGCGAATTTATCTGAGTGACTTGTGGTTGGTGCACCGGAGAAACCATCCCATCGTGTTGTGCGATTCTGACCTGAGAGACCTTGCGTCGACGGTCTGTTGTCAGGTTGCGCAGAGCCCGCCCGCTTACGTGGGACTGGCAAATGGCTTGGGAACTTCGTGATATTGTGTTCTCCGTTGGACGTGTGATTTGACTCAATCTCGAGAGAAGAGACACGTGAGCTACCTCGACTGTGATATGCGCGACCAATAGAAATGGGCGAGTCCGGAGGTGAAATCTCTATACTCAAGTTTTCCGAGGTAGTTTCGGGATCTTGATAAAACCTGCCATCGTTCTGATGGTCCCAGGTGACTGAGCGCTGGCGACTGTGGTCGAAAGTGTCCCGAGAATAAATGGACGAAGTAACACGACGACCTGACTCTGGTCTATTCGCAGAAAAGGCCGAGTCTGAGGAATACCTGTGATTGTCAGCAGACGCTCCGCCAACCTGACAGCCACTTGCAATTTACACTTACTGTGATACGAATGGTAGGCCTTTGGGCAGTTTCTCGCCCATTCGAGCATCGGAACCCGAAGACTGGCACACGTTATCAACTGAAGATTCGTTGACCAACTTTGGGGTCTCAATTACTGGTTTCCGCGAGCGATGAAATGACACCTTCCCCCACATTCTGACCGAAGTTTGAAGTATTCTGATCGATAGTCCGATGGTTAGTGTTCTCCCCGAAGTAGGTATGATTCGGGAGACTCGCTTAGGTGAATCAAGAGAAATATGAGAGAGCAGGAGTATTCACTATGACTTACCTCTTATCTACAAAGCGAGAGAAGAAGGAATGAAGGCACCCAACTTAGGGAAGGTAATCAGCCTGGTTTGACCGTACGCATTGACATGCCCGCATGTCACCGTATAAAAAAGGAGTCAATGCAGCTGGAGAAGGCTCGAGCAGCTCCAATCAAGCTGGCTGGGAATGAAGTGTATCCAAGGAAGTGCAAAGGAAGAAAGCAAGGAGTGATACAATATGAGAGAGACCGAAAGAAAGACTGAGGGCGTGATCAGTCAAACCAATAAAAGGAAAGGATAGAAAGGTAGGAAGAAAGAAAGAAACCCGACAACGTGCTGCTGAGCACGACCAACAGAACCCCTCCGCGGATGATGAAAGCAAGCAATGAATCAATCAATCAAAACAAGAAGAAGATGAAAAGAAAACGTTGGTGACAGAGTGAGCATGACAGCACTGAGCACATGGTTTCTCTGCTGGCACTAAAGTAAGATGACACTGTTTCAGATTTCTGTTGTAGTTTAGTCTAACTTGGCTGTGAGCCCTGTGACAACAATAACTCTGTAGTTAATTTTGATGTGGTTTATTATTAGGACCATCAATCTATGGCTCTAAACCTAAGGGAGTAGAGTCCGGAGGAGCAAAGGTAATTCAGGAGTAAACACGGCTGAGACCCTTATCTTCAAGTCCAAGCTTCAATACCTGGAAATACATCCGACTATTGAAGTTAAAAATAACTAGCATCACAATTCAATGATGAACTACGTAATATCAAAATATCAGAGTTAGGGACCCTGCTTCCTCAAAAATCAGGCCGCCACAGCCGGTGGTAATATTAATTAAGCGTGTGGTAGGCCAATACCTTAACCGTACTAGGCAATCTCCGCAAATTCCACGGTCGGAAGCCGAAGTTGACGTCCGCCATGACGGCTTACTCTCGACTTCTGGACTCCATATCATCATCGTCATCATCGTCCCGTCTCGACGTCGACTTGAGCCGTCTTGGAGTCAACTCAGAACTCAACTAGTCGCTTTCCACACTTTAAAATGGCTTCAGCAGGTATTCCTCCTCGCCGAAACTTGGATAGAACCAAATGCTTACCACTTTCCAGGAGACGGTGCCGTTTCCCCGCCCGCGGAAGTGTATGTTCTTGCCTTAGCACCTCTCAAGAAGCCCTGAACATGAACATGGCTGACGTCTCCATCGGTCAAGAATGTCAATTGCGACCCCCATCAACCTCATCCTCGTGTCTCTCTTCGCAATCCTGGTCTACATGCAACTTCGCCCCAAGGCACCCGTCACCCTCCCGCAAGCTCCCCCACCCGTCGTCTTCCGCACCTTCACACCAACAACCCTCCTCGAGTACAATGGTGAAGGCGATAAGCCCGTCTACCTTGCCGTCCGTGGACGAGTCTTCGACGTGACCCCAGGCAAGAACTTCTACGGTCCTGTATGCCTGCACCTTAGACCTTGATATTTCAAGACCAATCAACTGATGCCCGTTGTCTACTCCAGGGCGGACCATACGAGAACTTTGCCGGTCGCGACGCATCGCGTGGGTTGGCACACCAGAGCTTCGATGTCGAGATGCTCACTCAAGATCTAAAGGGTCCGTTGGACGACCTCAAAGATCTCAACGAAGAGCAGTTGGAGAACCTTCAGTCCTGGGAGGAGCGGTTCCTGGAGAAGTATCTTGTTGTGGGTAAGTTGGTTGCAGAGGGTGATCCTGAGGCGCCAAAGTCGTGAACGGTGTCTATCGCTATTACAGCAAGTTTACGAGGAACGTGTCCGGCTGCGCATTTACCCTCTGTCTGGTGAGCTACCGCGTCGGGCTGTTGACAGGACCATACAAAGCGGAGTACCAATAAAAGAAGCGTTCGGATTTGATGGTGATGCCTAGAAAGGGATCTTCATGGTATGATATACGGAGTATGTTTGTGTTCAATCACTTTCACCCTTCTGCCGGCAGATGCTACCATCAAAAGCAAATGATTTATGGGGCCAGAGGCAGTTGAACTAAAAACATTGGTCTACATAATCTTTCAATAACTTTTCCTTGTTACTAGACTAAACATTGCATGGTAATTGTGACATTGCAAAAGATTGCCCCAAAGATTATTTCAGAATCATCGTAACTTCCATGAAAACAAGACTAACCTAAGAAAAGCCTCCAGTCCAACCCCATCCTGCAAACCTCATAAATGAAAGTAAAATACAATCGTCATTCGTTAGAAAATCTAGAGTTCCGAGCGGATCTTCTCGGCGCCCTCTGAAGCCTTAGCCTTCGCCTTCTCAGCGGCCTCCTGGCCTTGAGCTCGGCCACTCGAGGCTCCAATCTTCAGCTGGTCCATGACCCACTGGGACCATTCCTGGAGCTTGGAGTATAGGATACCCTGTGGGCTAGTGGTTCCGTATCGGAAGTATTGGGCATGTCGTCTGGCTGCGGCGCGCAGCTCGTTGACACTAGAACCCTGGTAGGTGGGAATGCCATAGGAATCAAGATATGCCTTGAGCTCGGAGCGGGACCAGGTGTCAAACGTCGTGTCCTTGGCTGCTTCAGTGGCTTGAGCCATGTAAGAGGTGGCAGATGCCAGGTTTGCTCCTCCAGCCTTGGAGGCTTTAGCGTATGCCTCCTGAGCCTGCTTCATGAGCTCGTCGCGGGTGATGTCTGCGCGGTGAGCAGCCTTGGCGTTCATGGAAGACAGGTATTTCCTACGAGCGAAGTCAGAAAAATGTGATTTGGCACGGACAAGGGGATTTTCCTTACTTCAACTGGTCAGTGTTCCAGGTGTCAAAGGTCCAGGCAGTCCATCCGGTTGCGGCCTTGTGTTTGTTCAGTCTGACCTTGGCAAGAAGTTCGTCGCGCTTGCTCGACTGAGGAACAGGAACTCCGCGAGCATCCAAGAAGGCCTTGAGACGAGAGTCTGACCATGTCTCAACAGCCGCATCGAATGCATCCTGGGCCTTCAAACTGGCTAGATCGCTTGCGCGGGTGTACTGGTTGCCAGCCTTGGACGTAGCAGCGCCGATCAAGCTTGTCGCGGACTCGGAAGCGGTCTTGGAAGCAACGGAGGCCTGACTCACAAGAGAGGCACGGTGCTTTCTGGCTAAAGCAATAAGCTCATTACGCTTCGAGCCCTGGGGCACCTTGACGTTGTGCTCATCAAGGAACTTCTTCAAATCGGAGTCTGACCAAGCGTTGAACAATGCCTCACTCAAGCTCGACTGCGCAGCTTCGGCTGATTTGGTGGCGGAGGCCGCGATGTTGCGCGCCTGCAGACTGGCTAGTCTGGCATGGCGACGAACAGACGCGATAAGCTTGTCCCTGGTTGTTGGCTGAGGCACAGGCCAACCACGCTCATCCAGCCACTCCTTCAGATCGGACTCAGTCCAGTGCTCGTAGAGCCAATTACCAGGGTAGTGCGCAGTCTCGCCAACTTTTTTCGCGATGGCCTCGTAGTTTTCACGAGCAGCCTTCAGGAGCACGTCACGCTTGCGAGGTTGAGGAACAGGAACGCCATGGCGGTCAAGGAATGCCTTGAGATGAGAGTCTGACCAACTATGGGTGTGTTAGCAGAGATTGTTGCAATCATACGTCCAAAATGCAGATTACTCACGTATCAAAAATCCATTCTTTGGCATGATGCCACTGGTCAACGCTATTCTCGGCTACATGTCCCAGAGGCTTCTGAACCTTGGAGTCCCAGTTGGCCTTGACCAAGTTTTCGAGATCTTTTCGGTCGGCCGGGGTGGGATAAGGGATGTCTGGATCATCGTCAGCCGCGTGTATGCTTAGGGTATCGACGAGGAAAATGCGAACCATGATCGGAGAGCCATCGTTCCAATTCAGTTTCGTGCCATTTGTTGTAAGCTAGAGTCACATGGTTAACACGAGAGCCTGAGAAGGACAACTGAGATTAAAGGGAAATGGATTGCCTCAAACACACCTGCTTTGCTGAGCCAGTTGAACGCTCCGACCGCCTGCGTGGTCGCGAGGAAGAACACTAGGCTGGAGCCTAGATTGAGTCTCATCCTGGAGGTAGTTTCCTCTAATCACTCCTATATGAGCGCAAATCTCGATCCGTATAGATCCTGTGTGGCGATGTTAATAAGAGGAAGCCCGTTGAAGCTCTAGTTGAGGTGTGAATGAAGGGGGTGTCGCTTACAAGGGGGGGTGACTGCTGGGGTGCTTTCTTGAGGAAAAGTAACAATAAAAAAGTCACGTATCTTTCAGGGATACAAAGTACTTAAATGGTATGAGAATTGAGGTCGAAAGAGAAACTGAGAGCGAGCAGATGTTGGCAATATGATGCATTTGGAGGAGATGATAGACGAGTGACGTAGGTGCTGCTGAGTGGTAGCCGGTTTCCATGCTTCTTGTGTTGTGAGTCCAAGTACTGGCGTCATCGCAGAGCTTCCTCTGAGCTCTAGCCTCAATGAGCAACACCTTATTGTTCTTGCAGAGGTTTTTGCTTTTTAGGACCCCGCTTGGTTTGAAGACAACCGGTATCCATTAAATATACAAGATACTAGTTATGCGGCAGATACACTCCGTAGATAGGCACTAGACTAAGCACCCTACCTAACAGTAATACAGTTAAGCTAGGTACCTTTGGCCGCCCAGCTACTGATTAAGTTAGCGTAGTCTGAAAAGCGGGGACCTCTTGTTATCAGCATCCATCTTTACCAGCAGTAAGAGACTCATTTCCCTTCCTATACACCAACAGATACCACTACTATTATGAACTTTTGCTATTAGTCTGAGCAAGAAGGACTTAGGATAATTCTCTAGCTGGCTACCTTATCACGAAGGAAGTTATCGACTCATTTGGATTTCTGATCACGAAATGCCCTCTCGATAGACTTGATTACCAAGCTTACGGCTCTCCG